TCCATTTTGCTGCGATGGCTCATTTTGATGATGATAATAATATTTGGTGATGAAAATGATACTGATAAACCGGTATGCCTCTTTTGTGTCCTCTTCCCACGCCGAGGGAATCCGTCGGGTCAGCCAGAGGGCGCCTTGCCGGGGGAGGTGCAGGAGAGCCAAAAAGCCGGGAGGAAGAAGGCCTGCCATCCGGCCCATTCACGGCGGCGACGGGGATCTGCGGAGCCGCTTGGCCACGCCGGTCAGCAAGGCCCAGGGCTCGTTAGGTCCAGGTGGAGCGCTCGGGCGTTATGTTGCGAGAAATGTAGTCTATATATATATATATATATATATATATATATATATATATATATATATATACATATATACACATATACACATATATATATACACACACCACACACACACACACACACACACACACACACACACACACACACACACACACACACACACACACACACACACACACACACACACACACACACACACACACACACACACACACACACACAACACACACACACACACACACACACACACTTGCACTTACACTTACACTTACACACGCATGCATATTACAGGCAGGCGAAGGGATCCTGACGAGGCGGAGCGCGCGGCCGACGCACGAGAGAGAGCCCATGCAAATTGCCAAGGGAAGGACGAATAATCCAAAAATAGACGGGGTGAATGTGACGCCTTTCGTGGGAAGCAAAACTGACGGAGGAGGAAGATGAGGAGGTAGAGAGAGAAAGAAAAAAAGAGAGAGAGAAAAGAAAAAAAGGATAAAAAAGGGGAACTCGCCGACACCAAAGGAGAATGGGAAATGGTGAGAGAAGAGGTTGTAAAGATGAGGAGACTGACGGCGGGAGATCACAGGCGGCGCTGAGGAGGGAGGGAGGGCGGTGCAGGAGAGGCAGGCGAGGTTTATACAATGGGCGCACGAGGATGTTAATTGGGGTAGGTTGCATGGAGAGGATAGGACGCGTCGTGTCGAAGAAGGATAGGGTAGGTGCGGCGTGGGTTGGTGTTTGGCGAGGGTTTAGGCGAGTGGGATTCTGTGGATGGCTGTTGCTGTATGTTGATTATTATTATTATTATTATTGTTGTTGTTGTTGTTGTTGTTGTTACGTGGTAAGGAAGGGAGATAAAAAATAGATACCTTTATTTTTCCTTTAGATGTCGTTTACTTTTCTTCCCTCGCTTTTTTCTCTCCTCCCCCCCCCTCCTCTCCTCTCCTTCTCTCTCTCTCTCTCTCTCTCTCTCTCTTCTCTCTCTCTCTCTCTCTCTCTCTCTCTCTCTCTCTCTCTCTCTCTCTCTCTCTCTCTCTCTCTCTCTCTCTCTCTCTCTCTTTCTTTCCCTTCCCCCTCTCCCTCTCTCCCCTTCCCATTCCCCCGCCCTCTCTCTCCCTCTCCTTCCTATTCTCCCTCTCCTCATCCTCTTCTCCGCCCTCTCCTTCTTCCTCTCCTTCCCCCTTCGTCCTTCCCCTCCCTTTCCCTCTCACACCATTTTTAGCATCATTACCGTGTCCGTAGCAAGGTTAAATGTCGCCGTAATGATAAGGATCAACATAATGACGCTGTTTACGCTGTTAGATTCGATGAACAAAGCCTCCGTTTACTGACTGCGTTAATTACGGGCGGACGGAGCGAATATTCTGGTGTTTATTCAGCGGGAAACCTGGCTGGCACACTAGTCATGCGTGGCAGAATTGGTGACTGTCAATTTTGAGGTGCAGTTTCTGCGGCTGTTTTTCTTTCTTTCTTTTTTTCTTTTTCTTGTTTATAGGGGAGAGGTTTTGTTTTTCTTTCTCCCGTTTTCTCTCTTTTGTTCTCTGGTCCCGTGTTTTGTTTTATGTTATTTTGTTTCCACTTTTTTCTTTTCGCTCTCTTTTATTTTTCTTTCCTCTCCTTTCCTCCCCTCCCCATCCCTATTTTCCTTTCCCCTCCCTTCCCCTTTCCTCTTTCCCTTTCCTCTTTCCCCTCCCTTCCCCTCTCCTCCCTTCCCCTCCCCTCCCTTCCCCAAGTTAAGAGAAGAGGGCCTGATAGAGATTTTCTTTCCTCATTTTTATAAACATGGCTGTGCCCCATTTTTTTCCATTTTTACCGCCTTCGCCGTCCTTCCCAGTGGAGAGGGAGCGATGCGCAATTCCATCACCCAAATCATGTTGGTCCGAAACGCTATGTGAATTTTTGCGGCTTGATCTGCTCGGCGGAATGACGTATTTACTCGGAAAGGGAATTTTCGAGAAGTGGAAAAAAGATGGAGAGGAAAAGAGGAAGGAATAGCGGGAGGGGCTGAGAGGGAGGGAAGGGAGAGAGGGGAGAGAAAGAGTGGGAAGAGGAAGTATGAGAGACAGAGAAGGGAGAGGGAGAGAGAAGTGTGAGAGAGAAAGGGAGGAAGAGAGAAAGTGGGAAGAAAGGGGTATTAGAGAGAGAAAGAGAGAGTCAGTCAGAAAGAGAAAGGATTCAGAGAGCGAATGATGGGAAAATATAAGTAAGATTTGATACGGTTCCATGGCGTATTCCCGAGACGATGGAATATTCAGCGGCCGGAAATTCGTGGCCCGAATCCCGACGTGACGCAAGGCAAGGCAAGTGATTGGTTCCGGGACCCGAAGATCAGACAATCTGCGGGCACATTATGCGGGCCATTTACATGGTCGTACGTTTAAAGGCGGCGTGATTAGAAGGCCATTAGACGGCGAATCACAGGAATATGGCCAAAGTTTGACCAGAAGTCCGCAGTGCGTTCGACTTCGGTCAATAAACATCAAGTTTATGCGATAACTGGATCATTTCGGGCAAGATTTTTGATTCGAACTTTGGGTCATAATTTATGAGTACTTTCAGTGACTTGCTACTGAGAATGATTTCACAGTAGCAAGTAGTAAAGTAATGTCGGTTTAAATTTCACACACTCATATGCACATACTTGGGTGGGTGTACGTGCGTATGTATGTGTGTGTGTGTGTGTATACATATATGAATGTGTGTGTATATATATATATATATAATATATATTATATATATATATATGTGTGTGTGTGTGTGTGTGTGTGTGTGTGTGTGTGTGTGTGTGTGTGTGTGTGTGTGTGTGTGTGTGGTATACATATGTATGTATGTATATATATTATATATTATATATGCATATGTATAAATATGATATATAACATATATATATATATATTATATATTATATTAATAATATATATATATATATGTATATATATATATATATATATATATATATATATATATATCTGTATGTATATATGATACGTATATATAGAGAGAGAGATCATGAGCTGTAGTAGAGGTTCTGAGAGAGTTGGCGGTGTTATGAAACTTATTTGATTTGGGCTAAAGCAATGAAGATGGAAATTGATGGACATGATTAAATTCTAGGATATTATTGCTTCAGGAGAGCTTGACGGATGAAAAATGTTGGAAAGGTTTTCCGCGCCTTTTGTAATGAAAGTAGAAATGTCTAGAATGTGTGAGGCATCGTTTTTATTCATCTTCTATTTCCTTTCAAGAGACCAAAAATAGACGTTTAGCCAAAGAAAATTAGTCGTGCGGAATCTTTCCGTTATGTACGTCGAGACACACACACACACACACACACACACACACACACACACACACACACACACACACACACACACACACACACACACACACACACACACACACACACACACACACACACACACACACACACACACGTCCCCTCTTTTTCGTCCCTCTCTCTCCCGTTCTCCTTTCTTCTGCCGAGTGAAGCCTTGAAATCCGTTTTATCATGTCCATGCGGAAGGGGACACGGAGACACCTATTTTTTGACAGTCCGAATATCAGACAAGGAAAATACAGTCGTAAGAGAATTTGCATTCCATATTTTTCCTTTCGTGCGGAAGGTTCGGGCAAGTCTTGCGGAAAACTAGATTGTTGTTCTTTCATCCACGTGTTTGGGTGTTGGAAATGTTAGTTTGAAATAAAAAAAAATAAAGCATGTATGTTGTCTTAGATGTTGTATTATTTTTTCTACGCTGTCTTAGATGTTAACTATCCTATTGTGTTCACAAGAAGGCAGGAAATTAAGATGTCAAAACTATTGTTTCGTTATCTAAGAACGTTGTTTTGGCGTGCGGTATTTTTTTTTTTTTTTCTCATTTTCTTTTGTTTTTTATCCTGCTGAAATGCTGAAGAAAAGAAACATCTGGCAAAGAAATGACAGTCAGGAGACAATCGTTCGAACTGTGTAAGAATTTGATATGCAAATTCTAAGCCTGTGCCCCGGCGCGTTTTCTCAAAGGGGAGTTAAATCAAATCATCTTCAGCGAAATTCATCTTCTTAAAATGTTTAAAAGTGTAAGCACGTCTCCGTACGCTGGGGGTGACTCTGGTCTTAAGCTGGCAGTCTTCCATCACCTGGTCTTTTGACGTCTGGGCCTTCCCTCGGGACCTCCTTGGGAGACGTAGGTACTCGGGGTTGGTCCTGCGTTCATGCCCGGTTTGACCTTTCCCTTTCGTCACCTGGCTCGGGGGGGAGAGGGCAGGGAAGGGAGGAGGGAGAATGAAAAATAAAGGAGAAAAAGAGGGTGGGCCGAAGGAAATAGAAAGGGATCGGGCGAGAGAGGGAAATTTAGAGAGAAAACATCATGAAGAAATAAAGAAACAGGGAAGAAGACATACATACAAACTTACATACATATATGTGTGTACGTGTGTGTATGATACACCTGAATTCAGTGTTATGTTTGGAAATGGCAACAGGCGATTTCCCCGAGGAATGAATAGATCAATTTGTTGAGGAGAGTGTCTAGACAGCATTCGAAGTTTGGGATCGGCGGAAAAACGACGAGAACTTATTCCAGATTTCTAAGCCATTTTAAGAATCGTATGATATTTGCATTTTACATGTCTCTCGGAAATCGGATGTTGCAGATTTTAGAAGTTCAGGTTAAAAGTGCAATATTTTCCATAATAGCATGTACCCATTTCCAGTGAAAATAACGAATTGCAATTATATCGCCCGTCAGTGATCGTGTGTCTGTAGTGTAAATCGAAGTTGAAAAGATAAAAGGAAGGGAATCATCGCTATTGGAATCTAAAAAAAAGATATGTAAAAACGGTCTTGTTGGTACACAAAAAATAAACAAAGATTAAAGAAAACAATAGATATTCTGATAAAGAAAGGAACATTCCTCTATGCTGCCGCCAACGGAGCTGAGCGTTCGCGTCCTCCTGTCAGCCGGGCCTGGCGGCGTCTGGCCTGGGCGAGCCCGAATATGACGCCCTGGGCCCTCGGCAGTAGCGGGCTGATCTGCAGTAGAGTCCCGCCCACGCCCACAGCCCCGCTGTCACCGCCCTTGGCCGAGGGTGCGCTTCGCCAGGCCTACTCCGGCTACTCCGACCTCTTGTACTGTAGCCTTTCCCGGCGGCGTCCCGGCCCCTTCGGCTCCTCCTCCGCCCTCCTCCAGTCCGCTCTGTCCTGTGGCGCGCGGCAGGAGCATCGCTGTCGCCGGCTCGACGCCTCCAGCCTCCTGACGAAGGACTCGGCCGCCTTACAGGATATCATCATGCTGTGCTACGTGAGTTCTGTTTTGTCTTTGAACACAGCAGGGCTTTTATTCTCTTCTTTCAGGAACTAATGGCGCGTCAGGTCTGCCAGCTGCGTTACGTGCGTTTCCCTCGGGTCGCGACGGGCCCCGCCTTCGAGACCGAAGGGCCTGCATATTTATGAGCTCCAGAAGTCGCACAAAGGCATCAAAGTGATTATATGCTCCGAATGATTTTTAAACTGCGGGTATATCGGACTTGCTTTTGAAATTTATTATAGCTCGGGATTACGCGAGCGAGCAGAGAAGCCCTTAATCCAATTTCCGTGGCAGCTTTGATCCGAAATAGCTTCCTCTGAAGGAAATACGGGCTTACATCAGAGTGGAGCTAAGTTTCTATTTGTGCAGGCGATACTTGGTAGGTGTTTCAGCATGTTTTAGTGAGGCGCAGTGATGCAAGTATTTCTCGATAATAAATAGATCCTAGGTTTCCTTGTTTTAGCCATAGTAGTTCGGTGTTTACGCCTCCGAAAGCTAGGTGAAACGACGCCCAATGACGTGATCTCAAAAGCTGTTGCGAGATCCAACAACAACGGGTGTTTAACTTCGCCACTGGCTGCCATCATCGGAGAACTATTTTGTCCCGAGTTCGTGTCTGCTGAAGTCATGAAGTGGAGCATTTTAGTTCAAACGTCTGTGTTGTGGAAATCGTGATGCTCGTTGCAATGCAATATCCACCTGGTATAAGCCTTATATCGTGTCAGAAACGACGTGAACGCGCGGCCACTTTCCTTCAGGATTGTAAGAGGTTCCTGTCTTGGCCTCCGTCGCTGAGCTCCCTCGGGCCGCTATATATTCAGACATTCTCAAAAGACAGGGCTCAGTGCCGACAGGCGTCGCTGGTCCGCCTCCCGTTGTTTGCTTTAGCCCCCGTGTGCAACCGCCGTAAAGATCTCAGGGGCTGTTACGTTGCTTATTTTCCCGACGTCTCATAACGTTTTCTTTGCATGAGGGAGGGACAGCGTTCTCCTTTATCTCTTTGGCTAATAAGATGCACGTAAACAGACATTTGCTTGAAACCAGTAAAGAAAGGTTTTTCCAACTCGGAGGCAGTTGCTCATTTTTGATCTGGTGGAAGAGGGAAGCGATATACAAATTTTGTCCGGTGCTGGATGGAACTGGGGCATTGCCAGGGAATGGAATCGCTCCTTCTCCCCACGATTTCCCTGAAGATTAGTTGACGTTCAAGTGATTGGAAAATGCGGCCTTGAAAGGATTAAAGAGCACCAGATGTGTTAGATTCATTCAGCTTAACTTCTGGCGTGTTTTAATTACGCCACCTAATGAGGCAGAGTGATCCATCTTTAGCAGGGGAGATTTCCCTTTGTTATCGGCGTCTTTTTTCTAACCTCTTTAGCGGTTTTTTATTATTATTAAACGCAGTTATCTCATTTAATTGCTATATATTTCGACTACTCCTCTCTGCCTGCGGGGTTTATTTTGTGTCAGTATTTTTTTCTTCTTGAACCAAGATAACGTTCCCGCAGTCCTCTTACGTTAATTCACAGTGCAGTTTTTATGCGAACTTGCGTTTTGCACATCCTGTTGCAGTAACTTTTCATCATAAACTTTCATTGTTGTGATGCTGCCAGAGCCCAGCTGTTTCTTATATTGAGCTGTGCGTCACGTCTTTGTTTGAAGTTTCGCTGGTTAGTTGCCTAAGTGAACACCGTGTTTAGCCGTACGCTTGATGTTTTGCATATCACGCTGGCTCGGGGAGGAGTGGGTGGGGAAAAACAATTGTAAAAGCTTAAAAACAGTTTGTAGGCTTCAAAAGTTCTCGTGAGATTCTCGACACACCACTGAGATGTTAAGAGGGAGACGGGAAGAAGACGGGGAAAAATTACGTTTGCAGTTGAAGGATGTGTATCCTTGAAACACTTCAGGAGTATAATTTCTTCCTTTCACTAATACCTCTGTTGTTTCCTCTTCTGTGCTTGACAGTTAACTGGATATTAGTATGGCAATTCAGTGGATATTAATTTTATCACTCGCTCGTGTGTGTGGCATTTTGATAACACATTTTCTTTGGGCAAGTTAAGGACATGATTTGAGTAGCCGACAGACACTCACGAACAAGGAGCATAGCATTCCAAATAATCCATGAATAGAAACCACAGAGCTTCGCATCTTTTACGAACGGTAAAGAATAATCCACAAGGGAACACAGGAAATAAAACTAAAAGTCCCTAGCAAGGTCCTCTTTTATTGTGGCATAAAACTCCCCCCAACCGTATGTCAAGGCTGTCGAGAAATGAATGCCACAACGGACTACGGAATACCCTTGGCTAGCAGAGCCGCCTTCTGGTAGAGGTTAGGTAGTCCTTTGTTAGAAGTGACCCGGAAAGTGTTAGTGAGATCTGTCAATGGTGAAGGGAGTGGGAACATCGTAGGAAATTCAGAAATTATACTGGATAACGTGCTAAGGAACGCAACGGAACGGTTTGGAAAGGCGGTGCGTTAGCGTAACCAAGTTGGGAATTCATTTTATCTGTTTTAGACTCCAGTTTTGCTGTCAGGTTTATCCAGGGTTTTTAAAACTCGGTTGAAACGTGTGGGTACGGACCGACGCACCAGGCGACAGTTAAAGAAAAAGAACGAAAATGAAATAATCGGGAAAAGGTATTGCGGCATTTCTCTCTCTCTCTCTCTCTCTCTCTCTCTCTCTCTCTCTCTCTCTCTCTCTCTCTCTCTCTCTTCTCTCCTCTCTCTCTCTCCTATGCTGTATATTCTGCTGTGTTCTCTCGCTCCCTTCCTTTTGTTTATTTACTCCGTCCCGCTACCCACCCTGCTCCTCTCACTTTCAGTAATGACTCCTCTGAAGCTCTCTCTCCACTTGAAGTGACTTCCGCTCCATCCTTTCCCTCCAGCCTCTCCCTCCCTCCGCCTGGCACCTAATCCCACCTCTTCCTTTCCTGCAACATAGGCCCTTTGCCCTATACCCTTCTCCATCTGACAGCCGTACCCCTTTCCGTTCAACAATCGGCCGCTATTTGCAGCACCTAGCCCTCTTCCTCAGCACCTACCCTAAGCCCCTCCTTATGACTTCCCTCTTACCCCTTTACCTCCAACCTTCTGCCTCAACATCTACCCCTTAGCCCCTTCTCTTAGTCGTCCTCCTTGATCCTCTCTTACCCCCTTCCCTAGCACCTCTCTTCTAAGCTTTATTTTCCTAGACTCCTTCTCCTAGCCCCCTTCCTAACCCCCACTCTCTTCTAGCCTTTTTCCTAGACTCCCTCCCCTAGCCCCCTTCCTAACCTCCCTCTCCTAGCTTATTCCGAGACTCCTTCCCAAAGCCCTCTCCTAACCCCTGGCTCTTAGCGTCTTTCTATGCCCCTTTCCTAGCTCCTGTCATGTAGCCCCTTTCCTAGCTCCTCTCACCTAGCCCCTCGTTTGTCGCCTCCCAGCAGCCTCAGCCAGCACCTCCAAGCTGCCATTACCCAGCGTGCTGCCTTTCGCGGCCGAGATCCTAATTGCACAGTCCTGGACACCAACAGGAATTTGTCTTCATTTGCAGCGCCCACGAGGAGCGCTCTTGGGATACCTTGGGCTGAGGCGAGGTGGATGCGGAGGAGGTGAGGATGGCCTGAGTGGTGGACTTTAGCATTAATATTATTATTATCAACTACTACAGCTACGGCAATAACAGTAACAACGACAAAACTACTAGTGCTACTGCTGCTATTACTACTACTACCACTACTACAATTACCACTTTTGCTACTACCGCTACTACTATTACACTACTACTACCACCACTACTACTAATAGTAGTACTAGTACATCTACTACTACAACTGCTACTACTGTTTCTTTCAACTAATTGCTGAGAACACTCGCTAGGAGAAACGAGACCAACATCCCTCTATTCCAGCTTACCATGTCAGAAATTAATGTAAAGATGCTTAGCGTTGACAGGGCGGATGAACAAGTACATAAACCATATAAAAGAAGCCAAAAAGAAAAAAAATAGTTTACAGGGATCTTACTGCGGCCATCGTGAGTTTAAGCTTCGGGAAAGAAAGTCCATACGTAATGCCCCGAGATTGCCAGGCGTCTCGCTGGTTTTAGGGCGTATTATCCTGAAGCCGCAGGAGGATGAAGTGGGGGCCGTTTAACGAGATGACGAAGGAGGGGAGAATAGGGGAGGCGGGGTGGGATGGAGGGAAGGGGAGGAAGGAGATGGAGAGGGAGAGAGGGAGGAAGGAAAGAAAGAGAGCGGTAAAGATAAGAGATAGATGGAAGGAGAGACAGACAAACATGCAGGCGCACAGACAAACAAAGAAATGGAATGGGAGGAGAGTGAGTGGGGGAGAACGAAAGTGATTGCGGAAGGAGAGACGGGGTAGCGTGAGTGGGTTAAAAGCAACAAAAGAGTTTCGAGATTTCCATTCATGAAAAAAAGACATTTAGAAAGAGAGAGGGGGGGGAGACGGGGGATGAGGGGCGAAGGGGGGGGGGGGCTCCCCGAAGACCCGACTAACCTTAATGGTCTTAGCACCTTAAGACTTCCAAGAACCGGGTCTGAGCATGAGGAGCGCCGAACGAAATTCCCTCGGGGATTTTTGGAAGTTCTCCTTTAGAGGATTAGCGCGCGGCCTGGGATTAGAAACGAAAGAATAAATCGCGAACGAACGAGGGAGTTAATGCGAAAAGTCCGCCCGAGCGAAAACACGGCGCGGAGAGGGTGATCGACTACAGATGCTTCGGCGCGTCTGGGAGGAAAGTTGGCCGGCGATAAGGGTTATCTTTTGTGCAATGAAGATATGAGAAAAAGAAATGAGGCTTGTGCTGGGAATGCTAAATAAAGCGAATGTTCGGCATTTAGATGTATCTGAAGGAAGTTAAATAAACTGGTAATTTTGAGATAAATGATACGCATGGATTTTGAAGCCTGAACCCCGCGCGCACGCATGTTTGTGTGTGTGCATGAGTGCGAGCCTGCCTGCCTGAGTGATCGTGCGTGTTTGTGT